TCTTTAGCATACTTGGGTACATAATAGTTGCTTTGTAGGCTTAGAGGAAAAGTATCATCTGCTTTACAAAAATTCATTCAATAAAGAACTTTCAAGGAGGGGTGCTTGGGTGGCTCAGTGGGTTAAGCTTCTGCCTTTGGCTCAGGTCATGATCTCAGGGTCCTGGGATCAAGGCCCACATTGGGCTCTCTGCTCAGCAGGGAGCCTGTTTCCCCCCCCTCCCCACCTCTCTCTACCTGCCTCTCTGCCTACTTGTGATCTCTGTCAAATAAATTAAAAAAAAAAAATCTTTAAAAAAGAAAAAATAATCGCCAACCACCTTGAGATTATTATCATTAACGTTTTGATAACATTCGTATGGCCTTTTTTGTTAGCATAAGTATAAACATATATAAAATCATAGGTATTATTAATTATGATCACATTTTTTTTTAATGGGCCCAAGGGTACCTGGGTGGCTTAGTTAGTTCGGCAACTGCCTTCAGCTTGGGTCATGATCCTGGGGTCCCGGGATCGAGTTCCAAATGGAGCTCCCAGCTCCATAGGGAGTCTGCTTCTCCCTCTGGCCTTCTTTCCTCTCATGCTCTCTCTCACTGTGTTGTTCTCAAATAAATAAATAAAATCTTAAAGAATAAATAAAGGGGGCTCAACACCCAGTATGAAGCCCAACATGAGGCTTGAACTCACACCCCTCAGACTGAGACCTGTGCTGAGATCATGAGTTGGCCACAAATTGTGATCATATTATTAAACACTATAAAGTTAATATGACATTTAACAAGTCTTAAGCCTTTTTCTTGGACTTCTTACGTTACCAAAGCCCAAAATCCACCTACCCATCACTATCCAAACTCCTGGATGATTAAAAGAGGGTTTTTTTTGTTGTTTTTTGTTTTTTGTTTTCTTTTTTTAAATCCCTTTTATCAGCTAACTAAAGAAGTCTAAGGACTAGACTTTGGTTACCCACGCCAGGAAAAATAGCTACTTTTCTTCAGCTATGAGGATTAAAACTCTACTCCCAGAGATCAGTTTTTTTGTGATAGCAGAATTGAACAGGTGGGCAGTTATTCAAGTAAAGCTGCTTAGGAGAAAAGTCTATCTAGGTCATTCAAAACCAGAATTATCTTTGACTTCCTCAGAGGTCATTTGCCATAGATCATCTGAATCCTTGTCTAGAAGACCTAAGATGGTAACTCAGAATTTAATATAAACTTGGAGCCCATGGAATATTGTTTGACTTACTAGGCAAATGCCAATGGCTTAAGGATACCTGCAGACTACCTATATGTATTATTAATATGGGAATGTGGTTATGCTAAGATAGCTAGAGATTAAGGCAGGGAGTTTCTTGGCCAAGGAAATTAACCACCAAGTTTTCAAGGAAATGTTATCTATACTAGTTTTTCTTTGACAATCATCATGACTATATGATTTCAATGTTTTTTGTTATTCAGTTTCTTTAGGTTCATATTCAATTTCCTGATGTGTATATCATATAAAATACATAATATATTATATAACCACTATCTAATTCTGGAACATTTTCATCACCTTAAAAAGGAAACCCCATACCCGTTAGCAGTTATTACTATTACATTCTCTCCAAGACCTAGTCCCTGGAAACTATTAATCTATTTTGTATCTCTAGACATTTGCCTACTCTGGATATTTAGTATAAATAGTATTATACAATACATGGCCTTTAATATCTGGCTCTTTCCATTCAGCATTTTGTATTTAGGGTTCATCCATATAGCATGTATCAGAACTTCCATTCTTTTTTATGGCTGAGTAATATTCCATAGCAGGAATAGACCACATTTTCTTTTTCTACCCATCAGTTCATGGACATTTGGCTATTTTCAGTTTTTGGCTATTATAAATAATGCTATGAACATTCATGTACAATCTTTGGGGTAGATACATGTTTTAATTCTCTTGGGTATATACCTAGGAATGGAACTATTAAACTATATTGTTTAACTTTGGGAGGAACTTCCAACTGATTTCCAAAAGAGCAGTACATTTTACATCCCACCAACCATGTATGAGGGTTCTACACTGTGCATATGTGTTTTTTAATACAGCCATCTTAGTGGGTGTGAAGTAGTATCACATTTCCCTATTGACTAATGATGTTTGATGTAGTTGTTTTTTGTTGGTGGTGGGTTGTTTTTTTTTTTAAGATTTTATTTATTGATTTGACAGAGAGAGATCACAAGTAGACAGAGAGGCAGGCAGAGAGAGAGAGAGAGAGAGGGAAGCAGGCTCCCTGCTGAGCAGAGAGCCCAATGTGGGACTCGATCCCAGGACCCTGAGATCATGACCTGAGCCGAAGGCAGTGGCTTAACCCACTGAGCCACCCAGGCGCCCTGGTTTTTTGTTTTTGTTTTTTGTTTTTTTTGATGTTGTCGTGTTGGTGGGGTCCAGAGCCAATGGCCAAGAAAGAGTTCTTGAGACATCTTCAGTGGAAAGTGGTGATTTTATTAAGCATAGGGACAGAACCCATGGCAGAAAGAACTGCTCTCTCTGCTGCTGGCTGCTCTCTGCTGCCTCTGGATTATGAGCAACGGCTTATTGTATATCTTGGGATTGGGATAAGTAAAGATAAGGGAAGTTCTAAAAAGACTCTCATATGTTAAAGAAGACTCAGGATCCTGGAGGAATGTTATAATCTGCCTATCTCAAGTATTTGTTAATGGACTGCAGGTTATAGGGAGATTTAATTTTTTTTTAAAGATTTTATTTATTTGTGGGGCACCTGGGTGGTTCAGTGGATTAAGCTTCTGCCTTCAGTTCAGGTCATGATCTCAGGGTCCTGGGATTGAACCCCACATTGGGCTCTCTGCTCAACCAGGAGCCTGCTTCCCCCTCTCTCTGCCTACTTGTGATCTCTCTCTGTCAAATAAATAAATAAAAATCTTAAAAAAAAAAAAAAAAAGAAAAGATTTTATTTATTTGTGAGAGAGAGAGAGCATAAGCTTGGGGAGCAGCGGGTAGAAGGAGGAGCAGGCCCCCCACCAAGCTAGGAGCCCAATTTGGGACTTGATCCCAAGGTCCTGGATCGTGACCTGAGCCAAAAGAAGACACTTAACTGACTGAGCCACCCAGGCATCCCTAGGGACACTTAATAATATTATCTACATTTCCTTCTGCCTCAGTTTCCCAAATCAATATTGAGCACCTTTGTGTGCTTATCAGCTGTTCCTATATCTTCTTTGGAGAAATGTCTATCAAAATCCTTTACCCAGAGGCTTCTGGGTGGCTCAGTCATTAAGCATCTGCCTTCAGTTTAAGTCATAATCCCAGGGTACTGGGATTAAGCCCTACCTCCAGTTCCCTGCTTAGCAGGAAGCCTGCTTCTCTCTCTCCTGCACCCCCTGGTTGTGCTCCCTCTCTTGCTGTCTCTCTCTCTCTCAAATAAATAAGATCTTTAAAGAAAAATCTTTTACCCATTTTTAAATTGGGTTATTTGTCTTTTCATTGTTGAGCTGTAAGGGTTCTTTGTATATTCTGGATGAAAGTTCCTTGCCAGATAAATAACTTGCAAATAGTTTCTTCTATTCCATGGGATGCCTTAAAACTTCTTCTCTTTTTTTTTTTTTTTTTAAATCATTTAGCTTCCTTTAGAGTCTCTGGTCCATTCAGTATGTTTCTGTTTGTTTGTTTAAAACTTCTTAATGGTGGGGGCTCCTGGGTGGCTCAGTGGGTTAAGTCTCTACCTTTGGCTCAGGTCCTGATCTCAGCGTCCTGGGATCGAGCCCCACTTCGGGCTCTCTGCTCAGTGGGAGCCTGCTTCCCTCTCTCTCTGCCTGCCTCTCTGCTACTTGTGATCTCTCTGTCAAATAAATAAATAAAATCTTAAAAAAAAAAAACTTATTAACGGTGTCCTTTGAAGCACAAAATTTTAAAATTTTTATGAAGTACAATTTATTTTTTATTTCAGTACCTAAGAAACCATTGCCTAATCCAAGATCATGGAGATTTACATTTATGCTTTCTTCTAAGAGTTTTATAGTTTAAGCTCTTACATTAATGTTTATGATCCATTTTGAGCTAATTTTTGTATATGTTGTGAGCTACAAATCCAACTTTTTTTTTTTTTTTTGTACATGGCTATCCAGTTGTCTTAGCACCATTTTTAGAAAGACTGTTCTTTTCCCATGAATTTCTTGGCATCCTTGTTGGAAATCAACTGACCATAAATATAAAGGCTTATCTGGACTTTCAGTTATGTTTCATTGGCCTCAGTTTCTTTCCTTATTCCAATACCACGCTGGCTTGATTATTGTAGCTTTGTAGTATGTTTTGAAATCAGCAAGTGTGAATCCTCCAACTTTATTCTTTTTCAAGATTATTTTGGCTAGTCTAGGTTCCTTGCATTTCCATACGAATTTAAGATCAGGTCATCCATTGCAAAAATAAATGCAAAACAACAACCACAAAACCAGCTCTGATTTTGATAGGGATTGCACTGAGTATTTACATCAATTTGGCCAGTATTGCCATTTTAGAATTAAGTCTCTCAATTTATAAACACGGGATGTATTTCCATTTATTTACTTCTTTAACCAATCAATGATATTTTGTAGCTTTCAGTATACAAGTTTTGTGCTTTTTTTGTTAAATCATGGAGACTTTCCATGTGTATGTGAGAAGAATGTGCATTCTGCTTTTGGGTGAATGTCTGGTAGGTTTACTTAGTTTATAATAGTGTTCAAGTCTTCTGTTTCCTTGCTGATCATCTGTCTGGTTGTTCTAACTATCCTGTATTCTTGAAAATAGAATAACAAATTTTTATTGTGGTTCAATTGCCTATTTCTCCATGATTACTTTTATTTTTTATTTTTTTTTTTTTAAGATTTTGTTTAGCTATGTTTGACAGAGAAAGACACAGCAAGAGAGGGAACACAAGACAGGGAGTGGGAGAGGAAGAAGCAGGCTTTCTGTCAAGTAGGGAGCCCAACGCAGGGCGCAATCCCAGGACCCCAGGATCATGACCCAAGCCGAAGGCAGATGCCCAATGACTAAGCCACCCAGGTACCCCGCCGTTACTACTTTTTACTTCATGTATTTCAAGGCTCTGTTTTTAGGTGCATATGTATTTATAGTTATGTCTTCATGACAGATTAACCCTTTTATCATTATAATGTATATATTTTTGGCTCTAATAATGATTTTTGTCCTAAAATCTATTTTCTCTGACATTAGTAAAACCATTCTAGCTCTGTTTGGGGTACTGTTTGTATTGATAGGGAAAAACTGTACACTAAGCTGGCTGACCAAACCAGCAAGGGAATTCCAGTTCCTGTCTCAAAGCCCTCCCGGGTTCTCCTTTCCTACCATGTTTCCCACAAAGGCCGAATGTACCAAGTATGTGGAAGTAGAAAGGTATACATTACCATCTAGCTCGGGGCTCAGACCTTTGGAGAACAACCTCCTCTGAGCCCACAGTGTTAAATAAACCTCCGATCCTCCAAAGTCTCCGAGTGCTACTTGGTTCTTCCGTCAGGATCCAGTTCAGGTTCCGTATATTTTTCCATTCTGTTCCTCTCAGGTTATTTGTGGCTTTGAATTCACAGGGATCAAGCCCTGCATCAAGTCCTGCGTCAGGCTCTCTGCTTGGTGGGGAGTCTGCTTCTCCCTCTAACTGTCCCTCTGTGCTCTCTTTCTCTCTCTCTCAAATAAATACATAAAATCTTTAAAAATATATATTTTAAAAATGGGACACCTGTTTGGCTCAGTCAGTTAAGGGTCTGCCTTTGGCTCAGGTCATAATCCCAGAGTCCTGGGATGGAGCCCATTGGGCTCCCTGCTCAGCTGGAAGCCTTCTTCTCCCTCTCCCTCCATCCCTACCCCCCACTCACACTCTCTCTCTCAAATAAAGAAAATCTTTTATCTTTTAAATAAAATATTTTAGGGGCGCCTGGGTGGCTCAGTGGGTTAAAGCCTCTGCCTTTGGCTCAGGTCATGATCCCAGGATCCTGGGATGGAGCCCCGCATCTGGCTCTCTGCTCAGTGGGGAGCCTGCTTCCTCCTTTCTCTCTCTCTGCCTGCCTTTCCGCCTACTTGTGATCTCTGTCTGTCAAATAAATAAATTAAAAATAAATAAATAAATAAATAAATAAATAAATAAAATCTATAAAAAAAATTCTTCAAGGACACCTGGGTGGCTCAGCCAGTTAAGCATCTTTTTTTTTTTTTTTTTGGCTCAGGTCATGATCTCATGAGTTGTGGGATTGAGACCCCTGCAGATTCTCTCCCTCTGCCCTTGCCCCTACTTGTGCTGGCTCTTTCTTCCTAAAATAAATACATAAATCTTTAAAAAATAAAAAAATAAATAAACAGTTCAACTTGCAAAGTGCTTTCTAGTTGCATTTCTATGAAGAAAATATAACTAAAAAAGAATGATCTCGTGAGTACTCTCCACAATATCATAAATACCCGTTCCTCAGGTAATCTTATTTTAAAAATCTAGTCATAGCTCACAATCATTCAAAACCTGTGGGACACAGCAAAAGCTGTTCTTAGAGGGAACTTTAGCAATACAGGTTTACCTCAAGGAGCAAAAGAATCTTAAGTAAACAACCTAACCCTACACCTAAAGGAACTAGAAAAAGAACAAACAAAATGTAAAATCAGCAGAAGGAAGGAAATAATAAAGATTAGAGCAGAAATAAATGATATAAACTAAAGAAACAATAGAACAGATCGATAAAAATCTAGTCAGAGCCCAGCATAGAGATCAGGAGTACCTGAATCAGGCAGCTTTTTGAAATGAATCTGAAAAAAAGAAAAAAAAGAAAGAAAGAAATGTTGTCTTCGTCTCCTCTTCTCCTAAGTGTGAGGTCTATTCTTCCCATCATTTTTTGTTTGGTTTTGTTTTTAGGAAGAAAATAATCATATTCACTTTGGAAGTGATTTTCTTTTTTTTTTTTTAAGATGTTATTTATCAGAGACACAGAGCACACACACAAGCAGTGGGAGCAGCAAGCAGAGGGAGAAGCAGGCTCCCGGCTGAGCAAGGAGCCCAATACAGACTCCATCCCAGGACCCTGGAACCATGACCAGGAGTCCCTGGAAGTGATTTTGAATAGGCCAGATGTTACTTTTAAAAGGCAAGAATTACCATCATTTATAGTATGCAATCCAATGACCCATAAAATCTATTTTGGCCATTTTCCATAGACCCATTAAAAAAATAATGACTGTGGTAAAATGGGGTTGAAAATAATTCATGTTACCAAGGGACCAAAGGTGAGATTCTTCATTGTAAACATTTAATTTAAGGATTGAATTTTAGCAGAGAGAGATTAAGAACAGTAAGGTAATTGTTGGTGATTCATTAAACAGAAGGTGAGTTTCGACCTTTTGTTCCCGTTGGAAACAAGTCCTTCCGAAGTTGGAAATAACCTTCCATATTCAGGTGCTGTTGGTTAATGAGGTTCTGACCATGGTAATTCCTAAATATTAATGAAAGAGCAGTTTAAAGTAGATGATCTGCTAATTTTTTACTGGTATGATTCAGACTTATTATACAAAGATACTCTTAAGGAATTTACTTTGCCCTTCTCAATCTTGAAGAAATGTCGTTAGATTGGAGTGTATGTAATCTTGCTAACCATTGCATGACTTTCCATATGATCCTACTTTATCATAGGGTGGCTAGCCTTTGCCTTACTTTCTTAAGCCACTTAAAAACACACCCTTTGGGGCACCTGGGTGGTTCAGTGGGTTGAAGCCTCTGCCTCCGGCTCAGGTTATGATCTCAGGGTCCTGGGATCGAGCCCTGCATCAGGCTCTCTACTCAGCGGGGAACCAGCTTCCCCCTCTCTCTGCCTGTCTCTCTGCCTAATTGTGATCTCTGTCAAATTAATAAATAAAATATTGTTTTAAAAACCACACTCTTTGTAACCAAGAGAATACACACACACACACACACACACACACATATTGCTCTTCTTTCACAATCAAAAGAAGCTGTAGGTGGATATTCTTGTTTTCTTTAGCTAAAGAATCCTTTGTCCATTCATGAGTGGTCCGGAATCTTATTAGCAAACAAAATTTGCCCATGGCTTTTATATTAGCGTTACTGTCACACTGTGTACACAGGGGAGATGGAAGACTCTAAAAATAACTAATCTAGCTTCAGAAAATGGACTGAACTATATATGCTACATATTCCACAGATTTAACAATCTGGGCAAGAGAATATTCTAGGAACAAATCACAACTAAAATCCGTATTCTCCTCTTGTTGAGGGTTTTCCCCCTCCTCTTTTCCCTTAACCTGGGCAGGCTCCAGGGTTTTGTAAGACGCAACTTGCAGTCTCAATAAACAGAACATAGAACCTTCTTTTCATAGTGGTTTCTGCAGTCAGACACATTCTGTATTGTAATATCGATGAAATTATAACAGTATTTTTTTAATAATAATAGGACAATTGCACCATAAACAATGAATTCTGGAACACTGAAAAGAAATAAAATAATAAAAAAAATAGGACAATTGCTTTTCCCCACTGACCTATTTCAGTCACTGAAACAATGTTCTTGTCCAGAGATGTGCTTATTTCTTATTGAGAGATTAATACAAGTATATTTCAAGGCTGTTGATTTGTTTGCTTGTTCTAGTTTTTAAATTTTAAGTGTTAATAAGTTTATTTGTAGCTATAATGTGTAAGTGGGCAGCTTTTCCTTTCTTTCAGAAATAAAGCAGAAAGTGACTAATATCTTCATCTGTTTCTGAATTCTTACTCATAGGCTCCCTGCCCCCCTTCTGTCATGTTACACAACATTAAGGAACCTGGAACATAATGTCAGCCTCTTTCTAAAGGCACTGGATGATGTTTACACACTTCAGCTTCTGGCACTGACAAGGCGACTGGAGTCAAATGTAAATCATGATGTTTATCATTCCCAGTCAAATATGTTGTGCAATGGGTAGCAATGGGCACTGTGTGAAAGGTTGCCTAAGAAGCAGCCCCAGCTTTAAGATTAGTCAGCTTCTTTCTGTGAGGTGTGTGTGACCAAGATACTAGAGGTCGTTGGTGACGGAAAGACAGGCTGGCCAATGACAAGAACCAAAAGGAGGGGAAACCCAATTCTTGGCAGACAACTGAATCTTAGCAAAAGGCATTTGTTCTCTGAGGTGCAGAGGCTGAGAGGCTCCTGAGAAACATGTGAGGGGAAGGATTTTGTTTTCTTACTTTTTACTATTTTACATGAAAACTTTCTCCTGTAAAAACCTTAGAAGTCAGTGTGATTTCGGGTCACGTTAATTTACAATAGAACTAAACAATGCTTTCTAGAGAAATCTTTTTTCTTTTTGTAATAAAAAGTTTAATTATTACTAAGAACATGACCACACTAAAAAACATTAGAGAAACAAAACAAGAGGAACACATTCATAATCCCTTACAGTATCACAGTAGTGTACTTTCTCATCGTTGAATTGTTTTACTTGGTTGTAATCATCCAGTTACAGGATTTTGTCACATAATTTCTTGGCAACTTACCAAAAGCTTTTTTTAAAACTTTTTTATTTTAAAGATTTCATTTATTTGACAAAGAGAGATAGCGAGAGAAAGAGAAAGAGAAGGAGAGAGAGAGAGCACAAGCAAAGGGAGCTGCAGAGAGGGGGAGAAGCAGGCTCTCTGATGAGCAAGGAGCCCAATGCAGCTTGATCCCAGGACCCTGAGATCATGACTCACACTGAAGGCAGACTCTTAACCAACTGAGCTACCTAGATGCCCCTACCATAAGCTTTTTCCCCCATAGTGCTACAAAATCATATTTTAAATAATTGAATAATATTCCATTGGTTATGGTTCAGCATACGGTTAGACCAATGTTCACTTTTTTTTTTTTTAAATCCCTCCTCCCCTCATCAATGTTCACTTTAACCATTCGGATAGGCTGCTTCCGTTTTATGCTGTTGTTGTTATAAATAACACTGCAGTGTTAAAATACAGCTTTATAGTATAAAAATGTTTAAAAATTAAAGGTGTTGAGGGGCATCTTGCTGGCTCAGGCAGTAGAGCATGTAACTCTTGATCTTGGGTTTGTGAGTTCAAGCCCCACACTGAATGCAGACATTACTTAAAAAAAAAAAATCCTTTTTGAACTCTACATCTGAAGCTCATTATGTACTATATATTGGCTAATGGAATTTAAATTTTAAAAATATTTAAAAAATAAAAAAATAAAAATAAATTTAAGGTGATTTATATAAAATACAAAACTTATATAAAGTATATATGAGCAACTTAAAGATTAATAAAATGAACAGCTTAGTATCCACTTCCAACTTAGGAAATGAAACACTGCCTGTAACTTGGAAGCCTGGCTGTGTGCTTCTCTCTGGTTGCATCCTGCTCTCTTCTCCCCTAAAGAAATAACCACAAGTCTCAATGTTTTGTTTATTAATTTTTAATATTTTTCATTTTCCCTCAGGGTAGATTCTTTCCAGGAGAATTTAATAATTAAGGTAAGTGGGTTGTATTTATTCTTATTAGTTAGTCTTCTTAGCTAGTTTCTGATGTTGGTGGAAAGCATTGGCTTACATTTTTCCTTCAGAAATTATCAGGCTTGACACACCCGAGTAGGCAGGGCGGGCCCAACACCAGAGAAAAATTTGCCTCATAAGGAGTGCAGTCTGTGCCAGCTTTCTGCTGTATGAGGATATTAAGGGTTAGGACTGAGAACCTGTATAGCACGGAGATGATTCTGGATTACTTAGATGAAGGTTATCCTCCCTCCTCTTAGGTTTTTCTCCATTCTCTAGTTATTTTGGTTTTGGCTTCTTATTGTTATTTTAATTACTCATTCATTTAAAAAAGACAGTTCTTTTTGTTCAGGCTATTGGTGTCTGTCTTCTGGGATAAACGCAACATAATGGTGTTCAACTTCACCTAGCCCCAAGGAATCAGATGGGTCAGGTCTCACTGTCAGTTTTGAAAATGGAGAAACTATATTTAAAAATAATTGGCCAATAATAGTACTAATCAGGGTGGTTAGCTTTCAAGACTATAGTAAAAGCTGCAGTCGAAGGTTTCTGATCACTTGCATCAGAATCAGTTTAAGATACTTGGTAAATAAAGATTCCTGCACTTGTGGCCTTCCAAATCATAACTCTGGATTCGGGGTCCAGGAAGCTACAGTTTAATAAGCACTCCAGATGACCTTCAGTACCCTAAACTTGAGAAGCAACTCCTTTGCTCAGGGGCAGCAACCTAAGAAAAGTGATATAGTAAATATTCCCATTATTTTCTAGCACGTTTATCTTTGTTAAGCACTGACATGTAGGGTCGAGTAGCCATTTAGTGATCCTTTCTGTGGGACCCAATTGTGACAGCTTTTGCTAGACAAGCATGGAAAAACCATATCCAGAGCCACACCAGACTGTGCCTGACTGTAGAAGCTAAGCAGGGCTGGGTCTGGTTAGTGCTTGGATGGGGCAATTGAAAAGCCCAGTTATTCACTTTGATTTTGACATATTAATACGAGGGGCGCCTGGGTGGCTCAATGCGTTGAGCCTCTGCCTCCGGCTCAGATCATGATCTCCAGGTCCTGAGATCAAGCCCCACGTCGGGCTCTCTGCTCCACGGGGAGCCTGCTTCCCTCTCTCTCTGCCTGCCTCTCTGCCTACTTGTGATCTCTCTCTCTCTCTGTCAAATAAATAAATAAAATCTTTTTTAAAAAAAAAGAAATATTAATACCATAGGGAGAATTTACCCTTCAAGTGAGGTCTAGGAACCACCTTAATTATTTGTATCAAATTAGCAGTAAATTTTCATTGACTCTGACCAAGAGCAAGAATGAGATACCAGATGAATGCAGGTGAAAGCATTTGCCTGAAGCAAAGCCCAGGGTTCAGTGACAGTTTGTGCCAAGCACACTCTGTTTTCTTTCCAGTTTGGAGCAGTGCCCTTTGTCTGTGACCTTGATACTCAGAATTGTTTTGTGCAACCATTAGCCTGCATAGCACTGGTTCTGCTTTCTAATTGTCTTTGAAGCAGGAATCCTTATGACCGCACCAAATCTGGAGGGACTTTCAAGGGACAGAACTGCAGAGAAATTAGTTGTTGAAAAGCTAAAAGACAATACTTGGAAAAACAGTATAAACATAGAAGTAGAAAGTCAGGTGGAGTCTGGAAAGAAAAATTAGAAGTAACCTGAGAGACACAGACATTCTTCACATTCATTCTCAATTAATATAGCTTGGGAGGTTGCTAAGCAAAACCCTTCTGAGAATTGAACCTGAGATCCTATTTAATACACATTTGCTATCTGGAACAGTGAAGGAACTCTCTAGCTGAAAATCAATTGCTCTGTGAAAATTGTCATTACTAAAATAGTTATTACTGAAACTACATATTTGACAGAGTTTCTCTCCCTTTTTTATTTCATTTTTCTATGTTATCAGAAATTTGCCATACTTAAGGACCCAGCAATGATAATTAGGAATATTACACATTCAAAAAAGGGAATATTACATATTTCAATATTAATATGTTTAGACTTTCTTGAAATTTGAACATAATATTTAACCCAGAAAAAAATAAAGATGAGCCAGTTGGTGGATGTCAAGTAGGCCATAAATATTCTAAGAATGTTCAATTTTAGTAACAAGAATAACAGTAACAACATCAATGGGGGGGAATCAAATAATAAACTATATGTATATTTTACATTTTTATGGAGGCTATTAAAATAGCATATCCAAGGAATCTTGTTATTACTATTTTTTAAGATTAAAAAAAAGATTTATTCATCCATTTTAGAGAGAGAGCACAAGCAGTACGGGAAGAGGGAGAGGGAGAGAAAATCCCAAGCAGACTCTGAACTGAGTATGGAGCCCAACTTGGGGCTTGATCTCACCACTGTGAGATCACAACCCAAGCTGAAACAATAGTTGAATACTTCATAGACATAGTACCCAGGCACCCCCGATAGCGTATGTGTGTGTGTGTGCGTGCGTGTGTGTATATATATTTACATATATATATATTTTTTTAAAGATTTATTTATTTGACAGAGAGAGAGAGAGAGCACACACCAAGCAGGGGGAGCAGCAGAGGGAGAGGGAGAAGCAGGCTCCCCACTGAGCAGGGAGCTGGATGTGGGGCTCGATGCCAGGATGCTGGAATCATGACCTGAGCCAAAGGCAAACACTTAACCAAATGAGCCACCCTGGTGCCCCCCAAGGTATCTTTTTAATGTTTATTTGGTGATCTGCATTTTAGGTTAAGTTCTGTCTCTACAATACAAAATAATGTCAAACTGATCTCAACAGTATTTATGAAGAGAAACTATGAATAATAAGATAGTAATAATTCAGCAGTTAAGGAATTTCTGACCAATTACCAATATTATACTGATTGATGAAACACTAAAGTTGGGATAAAGCAGATTTCCCACTTAATTTAACCTTATGAGGGAAATTCTTTTTTTTTTTTTTTTAATTTTAAGGTTCTATTTATTTATTTGACAGAGAGAGAGAGATCACAAGTAGGCAGAGAGGCAGGCGGGCAGAGAGAGAGAGGGGGAAGCAGGCTCCCTGCTGAGCAGAGAGATCGATGTGGGGCTTGATCCCAGGACCCTGGGATCATGACCTGAGCTGAAGGCAGAGGCTTCACCCACTGAGCAACCCAGGTGCCCCAAATTCTAGACACTATTCAACAACAGAAATCATATGTATAAGTGGAAGAAATTATAGATGAATATGAATTTGATGCCAGGTAAGAGTTTTCCTAAGCAAAAAAAAAAAAAAAAAAAAAGGACAAAGAACAATAAAGGCAAAAAAATAAATGAATGAAAATCATAGCTTTGATTACATAAAAATGTAAAACTTATTTATACAAAAACATAACCAATGTTAAAAGTAAATAACAGGGGCTTTTGGGTGGCTCAGTGGGTTAAGCCTCTGCCTTTGGCTCAAGTCATGATCTCAGGGTCCTGAGATCGAGCCCTGCATCGGGCTCTCTGCTCAGCAGGGAGCCTGCTTCCCACCCCTTCTCTGCCTGCCTCTGCCTACTTGTGACCTCTGTCTGTCAAATAAACAAATAAAATCTTTAAATTAAAAAAATGTAAATAACAAATAAATTGAAGTGAACTTCAAACATGAAGAAATATTTAAATTCACTATTAATAAAAGAAATGCAAGTGAAAACAATGAGATACTACTGTTATGCCCTCAAATTACTGAAGATTTAGAATAATGAAAATACTCAGCACTGACTACATGCAATGAAATGGGAAGGTTTTTTAAAATAAATAAGCTTATTTATTTTAGTAATTATTTTAGTAATATCTATCCCTGAGATCAAGAGTCCCATATCTTCTTTTTTTTTTTTTTTTTTTTTTAGATTTTATATATTTATTTGTCAGAGAGTGAGAGAGAGAGAGCAAGCAGCTGGAGCAGGAGGCAGAGGGAGAAGCAGGCTCCCTCCTAAGCAAGGAACCCAGTGCAGGACTCCATTCCAGGACCTGGGATCATGACCTGAGTCAAAGGCAGATGCTTAACTGACTGAGCCACCCAGGCATCTCAAGTCCCATGATCTACTGACTGAGCCAGCCAGGTGCCCAGAAATGGGAACATTTTAATACTATTTGTGCGAATACCCTTTTTGGTGAGTAATTTATATTAAATTTGTTTAAGTATACATCCTTCTGATTCATCATTCTTACAGTGACATTTATACTAGAATGGGAAAGAAATAGGTGTACAAATAAACATGAATAGGCATGTTCAGAATAGCTTTTTATATAATATTGAAAAATTGAAACAATAAAAATCAAGAGAATGATGTAAGTCTCTTCATAGGATACACTAATACTAAATGATGGTGAAAACTCATATTTTTCTCACAAAATGTTATAAGTGAAAAAAGCACTAAAAATAGTAAAGTCTGATCCCACTTTTTAAAAGTATATACATATTTGAAAAAAGAAATGGAGAAATATCCACTAAAATATTTATGGTTGTTTCTTCCAGATAATGGGATTCTGAGTTATTTTTACCTTACTTTATGCTTTTTAAATTTTTTTATAATAAACACATATAATTTAAAAAATCATTTAAAAAGCAAACATTTTAAGTTAAACAACAGTGTTAACAAGTTAGAGTATGACATTCAAATTATTTCCTAAATCTTTGTCTCTGACTCACAAGGAAATTTTGCTTCTAAGCAGATTCTGATCTGTATTACAATAGAGGCTGGTTTAGATTTTTTGTTTCCTGAGAGAGGAAGCAGAAGATAATGCAGAAAGTGGCTGTTTTACCTGACAAAAACTTTATTCCATGCCAGACTACACACACACACACACACACACACAATTCCTATGCCTGGTCTCTTTTGAAAAAATAATAGCAAACTGTAGATAGCATTTGAATCACAGAGAATGATAGAGGTCATGGGATACACAAGCCCTAAATTTCCTTAAGGATGTCCCACTAATTCTAATTCTGAAGCTGGCACCTCTTGT